TGATAGTCTTACTTACAAAGCCTCTCTCTTACTTACAAAGTCTTAAGAATCCGGAGATATCATTTTCATCGTAACTACGTATAAACTACTACTTAGTACAAAGACAAAACTTCAAATATCTCGAAATCAACTTTGACAAATCTGCAGCCATCTTTTTTAAATTTTATGACGGTGGAGAAGGTGTCAATTCGCTGAGCTATCAAATTTAGATCATAATAATTTGTTGTAATAAATCAAATAAAATCAGCAGTTAACAGAATCACGTTATTTTTTCCAAACTAAGGCAACTGCGCCAGGGGTTTTCAATTATTTATTAAAGTTAACAAACAATTGTTGACATCAATTTCTATTTTATCCAGATTTTAGGGCGCAGTATGCAATCGTCAAGTTTATTCAAGATGGCGCTGATCTCTCCTGTGAAAGATAACAAGAAACCAACATAAATATATTAAGTCAAAAAAAGGATATTATTGTAAATATATAATATTATATATTAATTTTGCCCTTCATTTTTCATTTTCAACAAAAGTATTTCTAAACCTTAATACGTAAGTTCAAACAAAGAAATAAATGGTTGAAAGATTCAAATGCACGGATAAAAACAAAATATGTACTTATATTATCTTTAAGAAACTTCTAGATCTTTTCTATTAGTATTTATATAATATGTATACTCGAAAAGTTGTGTGCAAAAATTTCATCGGAATGAACACTTTATGCTTTCTTAGAATCGATGCTTGAGCAAGGCCGCGCTTAACATCTTCTGGGATGTACAATTCGAGCTTTATATTCCTTAAAATAGGGTTGAAAATATATTAAAGTCGATATATAAAATTTGCAAAACCGTCGGTCCTTTCGTTTTGTTCTAAATTGAACGAAATTCGCCGCCCGATTTGGTTGCAAAAACCCATAGCTTTACATCTATTGTAATATAATTCATCTGTATATTTATATAGGAGGATTATTGAATGGCAGGTACCTTCTATTTACTGACGGTTACCTGAATGCTTCAAAACATTTGTAACACGTCTTTTGTGTTAATAATATTCTAAATACAAAGATAATGAATTGCCCTTTCTAGAAAGATCTGTTTCGTTATTACCTACTATTTTTAACTAGTATTTCACCCTCACTTCGCTCGGGTTCATCCCTAGGTACATTTTTAACAGTTAATATGGAATATTTAGAACTTAGACTACATATTATACATTATATGTACATAGGTACAAAATAAACAGTTCTGAACTTTTCGATTTTCCAAAACAAATAAAGAAGTGTTTAAATAGCCGTTTTTGTGTTTTAGCGAAACTAACAAACGGCAATGGATTTTTTGTATATAGATGTTGGTATGAAAAATGTTTTAAAAATATTATAAAATTGTTACTATCCTTTAAAACTAGATTGTGTAGATAATAGATAATTTCAAAAGCTTTTTGGAGTTGCTGTTGTCCATAATTTACTTCACCAATGTCATGTTAAATGGCAAAGACAAGATGGAAGATTGATTGGTGAAAGGTGACTTATTGATTTTATTACTTTAATAAATTAATATAGGTATAATTAATTTATTTTTATTGTGAGAAAAGAATGTTTTTTATAGTAGCTCTCACTTCACTCACGTCCTATTATAATTGATTTACGAGAATATGTATTTGACATTTTAAATAAAAAAACTTTATTTTTTCGCGTTTTTTTTTATTTTTTGCTCACGATATTTCGAATGCTTTACAGCAAACATAGTCCATAGAGAGACTAGTGCTCGATTTCACCAACAACCCATAAGCTACCACCTACGTATCCCTAGCTTAAAATTCCCGTAAACTAGCCCATATTTCGAGCACCTAAATTTAGGGGGCCTTTTAACATTTAGGTGACCCCTAACTGTCGGTGAAACAGAAACTGTCCCCTAACAGGCCCTTAACCATGCTTAGGGGATCCCTTATACTTAGGTGACGTTGGTGAAATCAGGCATAAGGGTTTTGACGTCTTAAAAGTCGTTATTATTAATTAATTTGCTTAATTTACTAATACACTACGGAAATCACCTGTTGTAAAAATATCATCTACGGCAAATAAACTTTATATAAAGAAGTAAACTTTGTGTAAGAAGGTTTAACAAACGTTTGTTGGTAAGAACACACTATAGAAGAGAGGTTCCTTTCCTTACCTTTCTTCTGTTGAGCCACCCCGGATTATAAAAAATATTTTCATGCTCCATTTATTTTTTTCATTATAATAAAACACACATTATACTAAGATTTTTATTTATTTTAATTTTAAGTTATACAAAATAAATTTTCTTTACGCCCTCCTAGGCGGGGAGAGGGGAGGGGGGTCTCCTTGTTGGGAATTCCTTGAGTATAGAAAATAGGTCACAGATAATATAAAAGCTTTAAGTTTAATCAGTAATAGCATTTCAAATTGTACATGTATTAAGAAATTAACTTCGATATAAAAACCGTTAAGTAATAAAATGAAACTTAATAACATCTTAGTTTAATATACGTATTGCTCCTCATCTTCCGATTTCTTTGAAGATAGGTACGATTTCATAGGATTTTTTTTGTGCGGTACCCTAAACCTTTTTCTAAAATAAAAGTAGCCTAAGTTACTCCTTATAACATCAGCTATCTGCCAGTGAAAGTCCCGTCAAAATCGGTCCAGCCGTTTCGGAGATTAGTCCGAACAGACAAACAGACAGAAAGACAGACGGACAAAAATTTTAAAAATTGATTTTTTTCTTCTTATAAGTACCGTATACATATACAGAATTTCATATGCGTTTAGTAAAAAGCTATTATTTTGACATTACAAACAGACGCTTCATTTTATTATCTGTAAAGATGAATAGATGTTACTCCTAATAATAATTATCATTATTATTAGTGCAAAAGATTTGTATACACATACAGTAAGCACTACTGCGATTTTATCCATTTATATTTAAAAAATAAGGGTCTATATTATTTATTTACTGTATAACCGTATATAACGAGTAATCAAAATGAAGTCCTATCGTATTTCATTAAAAATAGTTAAATTAGTTAGCAGTTAAAACACTATAAGAGATGGCAGTATTATTTTCCCATGGGAATAAAAAATCGTTTGTCAGTTTGTTTGGCAGCCATCTCAAGGTCAAGAATCTTGATTTTAAGAAAATAATTTGGGGGTAATCTAAATCTTAAGATATAATATATCCATAAAAGTTTCTATTAGGCAATGTAGCCATTTACAAAAATATACTATTTATAGTCAAATATTTAAATTAAAGCAAATCGATTAAATAACGAGTTTACAATTATAGTTGTTCGAATTATTTTTAAAATCGAATGAATAACTACATCCATATTGTGTAATACAACTAGCGTAGGATACTTAATCGATAGAGAGTTTTTCTTGCATTTTTGCAGTTCATTTGAAATAATTATTTATGATTCAATTAAAAAAATATATTTTATTTTATATTGAGTGTGGTAGTACAGATACTTATCACTACGGATGTCACCATAACCCTAATGTTAAAAAAATCCATTAAATCAAAATATATTTTTTAAATCATTATTATTGTCTTAGTTTAATTTAAATATTAAAAGTAATGACTATAAAGCTTTTTAATTTATTATATTTCGAGATCGCTGTTTTAGGATAATTTATAAAATTATCATAAAACGAATATCAAGAATATGTAAATGATCGTTTAAATGTTTAAGTACTGACTCATTCAGTAAAGCTAAAAAAAAATTATTTACAATAAAGGAAATTCAAATGTAGGTATTTAATTATATATACAAAACAAATGATTTACACGTATTTATTACTGTATACAAAGCTTAATATAATCATAACTATACCGTATATCAAGGAGAGATCATTTGAAAATTTTGTCATATAAAAAAAGCGTCATGTCCTCGAAGTCATGAGGATTGCCGACAGAAGTGAAAACTTAAAACTATTAACAACAGTTGTTATTTTTGGATATTCAAATTAATTGTTTGATCTTAAATTAAAATTTGTAAATTCACTGTTTACATTTCTTTGGTTTTGACATCTATTGGCACTCTGAGTGTTAGCGTTAACACGTCACGTGACCATGTCGATGACGACTTACATGAATTTACTCCCCATCCAAACCTGCCTATAGAAGTTTTCACTTCAAAAATAATATTTACGATTTGCGAATATTTTGTTTAGTAATCGATCGATAATAAGCGACAAACATATGAATAACTTAAATTAGCTTAACTTAGCTTAAAATAAATCATGAAGAATATAATAAAAATAAAAAAATAAGTACATTAATAATGATGTCTAAACAATGTCTACGTAATTGTGCTAAAAATCTGTTATAAAGGGTTTTTTTAGTGTATAGTTTTAACATGTTTTACTCATTTCACAAGTCACAGCTTTGTCGAGCTTTAAGATAAAGTAAAGCTAATTATAAGATTTACTAATTATAAAATAAATATTCAATTCATAACATAGCAAATACATATTTAAGACACTTATTGATTTTTTATTTATTTAAATACATCAACAACTTTAAATTTTAGACTCGTGGTATTTTTATTTCCTTTTGTTCTCCTTGAGCCTCTGTAGCAGCTTACTCTGTAATATGCAGGTAGGAGCGCTCGGGATGGACGACTTGAGCGGAACATTTGAGGGTTGCTAGAGCTTAAACTTATACTTGACCCCAAAAATATTAATATTATAACTATAACGAAGCTTTGTCTATTTGATAAATATTCAGAATATCAATCGTTTTGGCATACAAACGAAATATTTCTAATACTTTATATTCTAATGATTTAACTTATAATGTCAGTATAAGGTCGGCCACCTCTGATAGTTTCTAAGCCATTCATGATTAAAAGCAACCTTGTGTTTGTAGCGCGAAAAGCTCACATACGTCACCGCGCAACGTGTCAAGGATCACAACTTTTACCGCACAATTTCCCACGATTCGTGGAGAAATCGAATCGACAACCCCGTTGGGAAGTTTAGGAACCACTTCCCAGAACGATAAAGGGCCCGGGCGAGGGGGGTGTGCGGGGAGGGGCGGAGAGAGGGGGGAGGGGACGACAGCTGCGCGTGCGACGCTCGCCCCGCGCCGCACTCCAGCGCCGATCGTCGAGCGCATCATACGTGTTTACTCTAATCGAGCCGCGCGCGATACGCGAGTTAGTTTCGTTACGATTCATCTAGCGTCTCAGAGGCCCGGGTGGCTGGGCGGTGATTGGCGCTATATTATGTGTGTACAATATTGCACCAGTCCCGGCCTATCCAAACGGGCCGGCCTTCGGAGACCGCTACACAGCATCCGCGGCGCGCGATCCCGTTAGCCGGCCGGTCGTTCACAGCGGTGGCTACGCATAGGACGTGATTCGGTGTAAACGCTGTGATCCTACCACATTGCACCAATCCCGGCCTGCACGCGGCCATGGCTCGTGTGTGTTGTTATCAGGTTTGCCAGCTATGCACGTGGCAGCTCAGGTAATGTCCACCAACTTTCATAAAGACAGCGTTCCCCCGCTATGAAATACATTTGACAATGTCGGGGTTGCTCGTAAGTCGTAGTTTTAGAAAGTACGTCTTGATCGTGATTCATTATGTGTAAAACATTTGGTTCGGGGTGACTGAATCGATGTAGACACCGAATACCGTGCAGGCAGACCGGTTTTCTTTAAATTGTAACATATATAACTTAAGTATACACCACTCGTAACGCCAAAATCAAGGACATTATCGGTAAGTCAAAGCTCCAAATGTTATAAATCTTCAACAGCTGATTCCTTTGTTAGTTTTTTGAGACAAAGCGATCGCATTGATACAATATTCATAGAATTAACTCACGCACCTACCGCGTATTGTTCTGTACATTGAATAACAAATTCTTACAACTTTATTCTTTGCAAGTTATATAGGCAGTAGTACAAAGAGCGACGTGAATCAAGCGGAAAGATGATTCACCGGGTAAGTTAAGAAGTAACCGTTATGATTTAAATTACAACAGCTGTCAGGGGCATTCACGAATTGCGGTACCTACATACCTACCTTATCCAGTGATCGCATGGCGCCAAAACGGTAAAATAAACTCGTTATGTTTGTACGTTCCTAAATGCATCGAACTATTAATATTTGTCCGTCGGCCCCGGGCGGTCACGAATTTGGCATCTATATTTTATATCTTATAAATGTAACATGTTATTTTCTAAACACAAGAAAAAAATTATAATTTTTCATCTCACGAAGCTGGTATTTTATTTTTAATATCTTACAATGATTAGTAGATTAAAAAGTTTCATTTAAAACATATTTTGTAGGTATATATTATAATGTCAAAATAACGCGGAAAATTTGTTATGGCTGATACAATACAATAGCGGTCATTATAGTTTTTTTTTTCAAGGCGTCTGCACAAGGTAAATATAGGAAACAGCCTATCGATACCTTTGTTGATCTAAGATAATCTAACCAAATGTCCGCTGACATAGTTTTGGTATTACAGCCTATTTCAAAATGTAATTGCTTAAATTTTAAAATATGTACTTTCAAATAAATTTTAACAATATATTTTCAAAATGTAGGGTAGATCAAATTTGAAATAACTGATGCCAAAGGCGTTTAAAATTAGTTTTTAAACGACAAAGCTTTACAACGGAGATTAAAAAAACTGTTTATAATATTTTAACATGGCCTATTTTTGACGCGTCTTTTTATGTCAAGTTCCCATCGGTGACGACATAATTAAAACACCCCTTTTACATCATGTTATAATAACTTAAATTGTCATGTTGAAAGAGCAAACCGACTTTCCTATACATAGATAATTAAATTTTATTATCTACAGTTTAATACAAAAGAAAACAATTTTTCGATATAATAACTATCTTAGGCTTAGGCTATAACTTAAAAAGTGTACTATTTTTTTTGAAAAAGTAGCCGCCTATGTCACTTTAAAGTCCTTTAACTATCTCCACACAAAAATCACGTCAATCCCTCACTCTGTTTCGATGTGAAAGAAGAAGAAACAAACACACTTTCACATTTATAATATTAAATATAAGAAGTATGGATATGGATATACTACTTTTCACTAAATGATTTGAACCAATTACCAACTAATGCGATTTTTTTTATTGTATTATACAAATATTGCCACCTAAAATGATCAATTTTAATGCGTTTTCTTAAAATGTTGAGCTTTAAATGTTCTATCTCTTATGGTTATCTTTGGATATACGTTTCACGTTTAGCTCAGAAGTGACCCTACTTGTGCTAGCGGTCGCGGATTCGAGTGCCGCTAGGGGCATTAATTTGTGTGATAAGCGCGAATGTTTGTACTTCAGTCTTGTATTCAGCCCTTCTTAACGTCCCACTGCTGAGCACGGGCCTCCCTTCAATATGAGAGGCCATAGTCCACCACGCTGGCCAAGTGCGGGTTGGCAGACTTCACATGTCTTTCGAAATCTTGCTAGGTTCTCTCAGACATGCAGGTTTCCTCAAGATGTTTTTCCTTCACCGTAAGGCAAGTGGTAATCATGTTGAAAATGATTCGCACATAAAAATATCAGAGGTGCGAGACCCGAGATTTGAACCCGCTTCACTCGGTTACCTAAGCGAGCGAGTCACCACTGGGCTACCACTGCCTTGTTTCACTTCAGTCTTGGGTGTTTATATTTATAATATTAGTATATAAAATTATATATGTGTAGTGTGTCAACTATCTGGGATCCATAACACAGCCTCGTAGCTTACCATGGAACTAGATGGTGTTGTGTGTTAATGTCCCAACATATTTATTTATTATTTTTTAATGACTGAACTAATTTTCATGATTTTTAACGAAAAGAATATAATACTTTCTTAGATTTACGCGCATATTTGATATTTTAAATAAAGCTATCTTGTCGGATTATTTCGCGGATTTATTTTGATTTGGTTCCCGACGTTTCGAATGCTTTATTTACAGTAATCATGGTTACGGGAGGGACTAAGGCTTAGAGTATATATATATAGCTTATGTATACTCTAAGGACTAAGGATTTAGACGTCTCAAAGGTGTTTTATACTTGTTACAGACAGTGCCTACCCACAATTTTACAAAATGATTTCATAAATTCAAAAGTGGCACTAAAGTACCTTACAATATTTGTTGATTTTTATTCTAAACATTCACAAGTATTAGAATTAAATATGGCAAAATTATTTATTTAATTTAAGCTGTTATTATTATAAATATAAGGTGCAATAAAACGTCGGAAACTAAAAATCAAAATAAATCCGCGAAATAACCCGAAAAGATAGTTTTATTTAAAAAGAATATGACATATTTATTATTTACCTCCTAGTTCTATCAAACTTGATCTTGCTGTTTTCAAGGTATGTGCGATTAAAATACAAAAACATACTACGAACATTGATTTATTACACCTTTATAATATTCGTTAAACACAAATTTGCACAAAAATTAAAGTAACTTTTGCCCGTTACTATTTTTTTATGTAAAGTGTTATCCTATACATATGTTTTAATTATGTAGGATTTACGACAACTTTTTTATTCTTGACAATATTTTTCTACATTATTTAACATTCGTACTATAATCTATACTAATATTATAAAGAGGCAGGGTTTGTTTGTTTGTTTATTTGAACGCATTAATCTCAGCCTCAGGAACTAGTAATCCGATTTGAAAAATTCTTTTAGATATACATTTGTATTATCATGATACTTTTTTTTTTTTTAACGTTGGGAAATGCATTTACGCACTAGGTGTGGGACTCACCGGCAAAGCCAGTACTACCCACTAAAACCCAACAAAACCTTCTCCCGTCTTAATGGGGCGTCGAAGGATCGCTTACGCATTCAACTACGACGCCCTGACGGCAGGTCTGCCGAAGCAGACCACAACAACCACGGGGTTGCTCCACAGTCCACTCTGCTATCAGAGAAGTACCAGGAGCAACCCGCATGGTACACTGCCCTCCGAAGAGGGCCACCGCCCACCGAAGTGGGACACCTCCCTGTGCGTTTCTTGGCTTCGCGCCCGGTTGGGTTGCCGGGCACTACTGAGCCCCCCCACCACGACAAGGTGAACGCACGTTGGGGGGGGGGGGTATTATCATGATACTACCCAAGGGGTTAGTATCAATATATCTAAACCGATTACTAGAGCAGGAATCATAAATGTCAACAAATCGGGAGTACTTCCTTAAATTATTTTGCATAAAGCCAAACGTTTTTTGTTATTTTAGCGCGAGCGAAGCCGCGGGTTCTGCTAGTGCTATATATATTATATTCTCATACAGATGTTTTATTTTTTTAATACATTTGACGGATCAGTGACGGCGGATGGATAATATGATGACAAACTGTTATAAGGGAATTAAGTTTTTTGACCTTTGCCATACATAGCTTGAAATTTAAATATTTAATTTAAATGAAACTTGATTTTCTTATGGTTATTATTTTATTAAAAATGTATAAAATATTTTTTGATTGTTACGAATTACATTCTACTTAAATTTTATTTACATATTATGAGTACCTAGTTTGTATACTTTCATGGTCGATTTGTTCTTTCAGAATAGGTACTAATAGTTTAAGTTTTACATAAAATTCTAATAAATAAACAGCAAAACGAGTTTTTATATACTGAATAAGGAAAAATGTTGTTTAAATTTATTTATCCTAATACATGAAATATAGAGGAGAAGGCAATAGACTACATAGACAGTCAAGCTTGACAATGTAAACCTACGTTTATTAAAAGACTAGCTACTCTCCATCGCTTCGTTCGGGTTCATCCCTACTTACGTTTTAACGTTTAGTATCGATTTCTCAGAGGTAAGATATTTTCCCGCTGTAAAAAATATTCTATATGTTGACCAGGATAACCAGCTATCACTATACTAAATTTCATCAAAATTCCTCCAGTGGTTTTTCCGTGATGCGGTAACAGACAGACAGACAAAAATTCTAGAAACTATAGATTCGGCCTACAATAATTAAAAAAAGTGGCAGTGAAATACCTTTTTTTTAATAAATATAATTAGGGTTTCTAATTGCTATATTTATATAAAACTAGTGGCTCACCCTCGATTCGCTCGTCCCTAGTGAAAAACAATAAGAAATCTTTCCCATAAATTTTTGCAGGATAAAAAGTACCCTATGCTATACCAGGCTATAATCTATCTCT